TGGACTTAAAGTTGACCCCTAATGTAATCCAACTGAAATAGCAAAATACTTTGTCAATCTTCCTTTTGTTCTAGTATGCATATCTTTAAAACTTGAATCTAAGTCATATCATTTGTTATCTCTCAGGAAGCTTAAAAATACATTTGGCTTATGTGATATCTTATAGAAGCCCTACCTACTGTAGCTTCATCCAAAAGACCCCTTTGATTTTAAAAGAATCCAAATGATCTCTAACTCACCGGATAAATTTAGAAGAACAATTATAAAAATTATTGGAGAAGGCTAACTGCTAGAAAAAAAAAGTAAAATCAAAATAAAAACTCAGGGTACCTCAAGTCATCGTTACAATCATAGACCTCATATATAGTTTAGCTTAACTCTACTCTGACTCCAAATTTTCTTCAAGGCCTTCGGACTCGTCCTAAAGCTTCACTTATGGGTAAAGCAGACATGATCAACCTAATTTGACTAACCTATAGTAACCGAATGGAGCCCAACCAATAAAATCAACTCTTTTAATGATAATTAAACGTAATTGCATACTAAGCAGTAATAGGTTACTAGTGTTTAGAATGTTACAGTTGAACAAGGTGACATGCCAACCTTAACTCCATAACTGCTATGCCTGCTAAAACAAAAGGATAAGAAAATATCTTAAATGTGCATCTCTTCAGAAGCAGATTTTTCTGCTGCAACAGGCACCTAGTGGGGTGTGTAAACCCAAGGTTGCTCATGTGGCTGAAAAGAAGAAAAGGTTGCTTTGGTCAATGAGGACATCAATAATTAGCACTAGAAGAGTTTAAAGACTATCATAATCCAAAAAAAAAAGCAAACCGTGAAATAGTAAGTGAAAGAAGCGTTGATGAAATCTCAATAGATCTCATCTATTCTAAAAAGTATGCTCTACCGAAAGGAGTTTAATACCAGTGCAATATCATGAAAAATTTATGCCACCATCTTGAAAAATATTCAATGGCATGGGAAATTCTAGCAAACATTTGGCAGATGTTGAGACGAGTTGTATTAATATAGAAAGCAAAAATGCACCTCAATAGGCAATTTATCATTAGTTTCTCGAGTGTTGAATTTTACTAGTAACATTTGTTGATCTAGATATTTTTTCTATAAAAGAATTTACGAGAGCTTAAAACAAAGTCATGATAGGTGATTTGACTGTTGAAAAAGAAAAGGTCGAATGAGCCATTAGTGGACAATATTCTGTGTTAGAAGAATTTTAGACAAAAATGTGAGCATCAAACAATTAAGATCCTGTTGGAAAACATTCATTAACTAGCCGCATTCATTTTAAATAATTGACCATAAAGATGTTTGAGAACTTATGGAGCAATGCCTATAATCTACAGGAAGAAATCTCATAGTTGATATTCTTAAAAGAGCAAAAAAAACAATATTCAAAATGCCAAAAGATCTTGGGAAAAAATCCAAAATGGTGCCCGCAATGAAGAAGAAAAAATAACAAATAAGAATACAGGCAAAAAAGTGGTAGCAACAATTGCACAACAATAATCAAAATATGTGGTAAGAAGAAATTCTCAACACCTTTTAGTGAAAGAATGAACAAAATATTTTCTTTAAGAAAAGGCTTTTAAAAATAATTTGAGCATCTGATGTAGTAGATTTCCAACTACCAAAGCCTAAGAAGCTTGAAGAGATAAGCAAGAGTGGTGAACCCAACTACTGCCCATATATTTGCATACTTATGCACACAGTAGAGGACTACTTTATTTGTAAGGACTGTAAAGAGAAAAATTTTGTGGATTCTAGTCAAGGAACCGTGAAGGTAGCCTCAGATGAGTCATATATCCTATTTAATCCATTCAAAGCAGAAAAAAAAATGCTGGAACATTTGTTTGACCAAAAACCTCTAAGAGAATTCTATATAAAATGTAATAATCTTCCATGCAAATATCATACAAGGAACGACAGTCTTTCATCCAAGTTGATCACACAGTTGCAGAGGATAAAGTTGGGTGGGTTTTAGGGGGGGAGGGGTAACGGCCCAAATCTACAGGAGTCCATTGGTGTTTGGCAGGGTTAAGCTTCTTGCCAATTATTTTGTATAGCTTTTTTCTTTTTTAAAAAAAAAATAAATAAAAGATGCATTAAATAAGAATTTTGTTTCTGTCTTCCCTACCTTTGATGAGAATGTTTAAAATGACTTAAATAAAAAAAAAAACAATAACTATAGTAATAACAAGAACTTTTTTTAACTATATTGATTCCAATTCACTCAGAGAACAAGGATTCAACTTCTAATAGTGATTCTCGTATTTTCAATTTATAGGATATACCATTTAGGATTGAAGTGGATTTATTGGATTATGATAATTTGACAAAAGAGATATTAGGTAGTACTGAGGATTAGATAGATGTCACTGTAATCCCTCCACTTTAAAGGATTATAACAGACAACTTTTGTCTTAACAAACAAGATCATATCACCTCTGATGGCACCCAAGCATAAACGAAGCAAGTCGATGGTACTAATAAACTCTAGGCACTAGATGTTCCTCCATAAGAGATGAATAATTGTTAACTCAAAGTTGATTACAGCATACTCGATCATTTAAGAAAGTTGTTCGCTATACTCACCAATTTTTTTTTTCTTATATTATCCAGGAAGATGAGACTTCTAAACGAGGACTTAATCCATAAATTTGTATGGCCCAATTGACAGTAAATTCACTAGACGAGTCCTGCTACTTCAAAATATTCCAAATGTAGCCATATTTTTTATGAGGATCTATTGCTCGGAATAGCCAACTACAGTCGTCCATTTTATACACTGTCAGCCATTCATAGGGGTGAAATCTACTAGTCCATTATATTTTATTAGATTTAGGTTCAAGGCACTATCTCAATGGAGGTTCTCACCTTAATTTTGGATCTAATGCAAACTATTTATTCTTCCTCAGTTATAAATCCACAATTTTTTTGGTTTTTCCTCGGCTTTGTATTATAGGAATATAAGACCAAAATTTGTAATAACAAGACGAAACTCCAACAAAATCTAATTTCACAAATATAAAGCATAACTTTGAATAATTTTGAATACTTTCAAGCTTCTTAGCATCTAGTACTCCTTACTTTTTCTCCTTTGACAGCCAAAATTTTTTTCGATTTAAGTTATGCCGATTGAATTTTAAAATAGCATCCTAAAAATTAAACTATAATATTTATAAAAATGAGAATTATTCTTTAATCTAGAGTATTTTTTTTTTAGAAATCACCTTTATAGGAATATAATTAATTATAAGGGCATACTTATATAAGAAACTTATACACTAGAACAAAATAAATCATAGCTTACCTAAATTAGGTAAAAGATAAAATCTCTAGTAACATAGACACAAAATTTTGAAATCTTTGATTTTATAATTGAATATATTATAGAATAATATGTCTATCATTTAAAATAATAAATTATTATCAATGTTGTATTTGATCATAAAAATAATTTTTTAACATTTATAGTTTAATTTTCCCACACATTCATCCAAATTGGTTAAGTGATGCAATTTTGGACTTCAATGGATTGGCACCTCCACGGTCTCCACAAAAAGGCAAACAATAGTTGCACATGATAGAAAACTAATGCTCATTGAGAATAACTTAATGTTGCAACAACTTCTTCCAGTAATTAGAAGCATTCAATATGGCATGCTAACAGGAGTTAAAGATGACAAAATTGATTGAAGTTGTACAAATGATAGAAACAATGTGTATGGAAGCCTGTATAAAAAAGTTAGTCATCTGAGAGAACGCCCAAGAACTTTTCATGGGTGAAAAATGTTGACCGAGTGGCGCTAATAATCTAAATCGGGTAATGTACCAAATAACCATTATAACTTACTATCAATGCAAGCAACAGGATATAATAATCATTTAGGGGTCTTTGCCAAATGATCTTGTGTTATATTTTCTTCAAACATGATGGTATTCATAAAAGTATAAAGAAGATGAGAATGCTTATTTATTTTAGGTTGATCAATGGAGGACACATGGAAACTAGCACGTTCAAATGGAAGAAGAGAGAGAAGTAAAGCTGCTTGCTATTATAGGAAAGCAAAAGAGAGAATCCATACACCACAAAGAACTTGAGGTTTATTCAAAGCCTCCTTCTTAACTTGTTCTTTTACACGATGTGAAACCTACATCATGTCTGAACTCAGAATAGATCATTTTGACCCACTTCTATAACCTGATGTAGGCTACATTGGTTCACAGTCATCATCACCAGCATAGGCAGGGGATGAATAGCCATCGAACAGATCGATGAACCTAACATCATTGGCTTACATAACTCCTACAGGCTAAACCTCTTCTACATCAGTTGTATCTTTTTGTGTACTTGCTCAATCTCAGCCGTTCCTACTGAATAATTGGTATAACATCCCAAAATCAACCTTCAAGTTTTTTAACATGGTTATGATATATGCTTCTATGTAAGTCATGCCTAGCCTTCAGTTTATCAAACTGATAAAATCACACTACAAGTCCCTCTTCAGTACAACATCTGATATGTTTCCATAGAAAAATTGCTCCGCAAGCAATTCTTTTAAAACAACATTATGTTGCTCAAGCCGTCTTGAAGTCCTACAATTCCACATGAATCAATAAATCCTAATCTACAATATATTGCAAACTAGAATCACCACGATCTACCAACTTGCCTTTCAAGAATCTCTTCACATATGTTGTTCAAGTTAACGATTCATGCCAACAAAAGGTATAGACCATTTATCAGTAATAAGTAATAATATTATTTGTTACAGATCTAGTACTTGGAATTTACTGAAGTGGTATCACGCTTCATTGTTTCAATCTAGCTTACACTGACATATAATTAAATTTCTAATAGAAATCAAGAAACTTAAGCATAAACATTTTAGAACATAATAATAAGATACCGTTCTAGGAAACATCTCAACTTCATGCAACTAAAAAACCAGTAAAACCATTTAAACTGTGAACCTAACCTCTTCGAACGCTACTTAAAACATCGCAAGTAACTCGAGATCGTGAAATTATAGTCCGGCCAAAGTTTCTGTGAATGTCGACTCATCACTAGTCATTCTGCAGGTGCAAAAATGTAAATCAGAATGCCTCTCAAGGCTTATAAAATTACTAATAAACACTTAAATCAACATCACCTAAATGAAAATAAATAAATAAATAAAAATCAAGATTGCTCGTTGAAATGGCTGCTCACATTGCAATTAGAGCCCCTGTATTTGATCTGATAGGAGATATTCACAAGGGAATTGGCAGACAGAATAAAAATCAAATGTTCAAATTCGTCTTTCCCGTTCTCAGCCTTCCTTCAGCTGTCACACTTCTCTTTCATTCGGCCTGTGTGCGACGTCGGGATTTCCACGTAACCAGGTGGAGGTGGAAAGCTGGAGCCCGATCCGCCTCCCTGTTCCCGATCGTCGCGACCGCGCGTTACAGTTAGGGCTGTCAAAAAAAAGCTCGTTGTTGGCAACAGTAAGTTGTCGTGTTCGGCTCGTAGCTTGAATTATAAACTAGCTCAACAGGAACAGTTCTATTCTTTATTTATATAATATTATATTGTATATATTATTTATATAATAATATATTATATATAGTTATATCTAAGTTTAAATTATATAATCTCGTGTGGTAATGTGGTTAGTGTCTTTTTTGTATACATTTGGTTCAGGTTTGAATCTCACACTTTACTTCTATTTTTTTTCAATTTAATTTTTTCGAGCTAATTTCGAGCCGAACACGAGCCGAACACAAACACAAATATTTAATTCGAGTCGAACACGAACACACTGTTCACGATTTGATTTCAAACATGAGCTATTTCGAACGAGCCGAACACGAGCCAAGCCTGAGCTCGCTCAAGCTCGGCTCGTTTATAGCCCTAGTTACAGTTTCGCAAACCGTTCCCGCCTACCGTGTTTCCGCCTTCCCTGTTTTGGCGAAATGAAGCATCCTCTTCTTCGGCAGTTTTTTTAGAGTTGGCTCGCAGCAGAAGGAAGAAAACAAAAGGAAGAAAACAGAAGGAAGAAAGCAGATTTAGTACGGTCTTTTATTTATTTATTTATTTATTTTTTGTTCTTCTTCGGGCTTATCGAAACAGAGGGGAAGAAAGGTAAAAAGTGGAAGCATTGATTGTGGTTGTTCTCGCTGTGGTAGTTCTTGTTTGGCTTCTTCTTAGTGGCTTGTGGCAGAAAGAAATTAGGTTTATTTCTCTTATATGTTTATCCTCTTTGGTTTATCTTGATTTAGAGAGAGAAGAGAAGGGAAGAGAAGTGAGAGAAAGAATTCGCTCTTGTAAGTCGAGATGATCGATTGGTATAAATTCCTCAAGTAGTAAAATTCACTGCAACTCCGTTGACGTAAGCAATTTGTCGAACCACGTAAATCTGTATGTTTTGCTGTGTTACTATTTTCTGGTATGAATTTTCTCGTACTACTTTTCGCTTTGTCGATCGTTCTCCTATCGTATTTCTATATATATACCACAATAACTGTTATCAGAGCTTTGTTCGGATCTAAGGAAGAATGATGGCTGCAGATGAAGTAAATGTTTCAAGGATCGAGAAGTTTGATGACACAAATTTTGGTTACTGAAGAATGCAAATAGAGGACTATCTCAATAGGATGAAACTTCATCTTGCATTATTGGGGAAAAGACCCGAAATAATGGATGAGACTAAATGAAATTTGTTGGATCGACAAGTTCCGAGGGTTATTCGATTGACTTTGTCGAGTTACGTTGCACACAACGTCGTCAAGGAAAGGATGACTACATATCTCATGACAGCCTTATTAGATATGTATGAAAAGTCATCGATGAATAATAATGTGTATTTAATGAAAAAGTTATTCAATTTGAAGATGACGAAAGATGTTTCTGTTGCTCAACACATGAATGATTTCAATATTATCACAAATCAATTGTCGTCTGTTGAAATTGATTTTGATGATGAGATACGTGCACTAATATTGTTGGCATCATTGTCAAATAGTTGGGAAGTGATGAGGATAGCGGTTAGCAGTTCTGCAGGTAAATCTAAACTGAAATGTGATGATATTCGTGATTTGATTTTATCTGAGTATGTGCACATGAAAGATTCTAGCGAAATCTCAGGTTCGAGTTCGGCACTGAATGTTGATTTCAAAGGGAGATAACATGACAAAAACTCAAATATAGGGATTTCAAAAGCAAAGTCTGGTCAGCATGCAAGCTGCTAGAATTGTGGCAAGGTTGGCCACATAAAGAGGAACTGCAAAAATCCAAAAAATATGGAGAATGATAGCACAAATGTGATATCTGAAGAAGTAAAAGGTGCACTATTGCTGGCAGTTCATAGTTCTGTTGATGATTTAATGCTAAAGAAGTTCAATGATGTCACTCACTACCAAGCACTTGAGAAATTAGGCCCTCTGTGGGCTGGACTATGTAAAGAGTTTAAATTTTATTTAATTTGACTTTCTATTTTGAAAGGGTTTCTATTTAATTTATGTCAAGGAAATATTTTATTTAGTGTTTTATTTTGAAAATTTTTAAGTTCTTTTTTTTTAAGAAATTTTATTTAAGTTTTGTATAGTAGACTTTTCTCGTTGAAAGGATTTTGTTAATTTTGTTAAAGTTTTATGTAAAATTTTTTTTTTTTTTGAAAAGGTTATCTTTTGAAAATGTTTTGTTTAAATGTTTTTTTTAAAGAGTTTTGTTCTTGTTTTGTTAAAACAAATTTATCTTTGGTTATTATGAGTTTTAAATACAAGCTAGAATGATTCAGTTTAAGAAAATAAGTTTATGAAAAGATTAGATGCTTTAGCATACATAGACATATTTTATTCTCCTCACTTTCATAGCTCACTTAAGTAAATATAATTCTTTTTAAAATACATTTATATAAGTTTTTTTCCCTTACACAAATTGTTCATTTGGAGCTCTTTTGAACATATATATATGTGTGTGTGTGTGTGCATATGTATATACGTATATATAAGTTTTTTAATAAAAATAGTTCATTAAAATTTTTGTTTAAGTTAACGTCACTCAACTATACAAATTTTTGCAAAACTCTTTATCACTGCCCAACTCAGGAAGATAGCCAATTTTGAGAATGTAAGCACAATTTATTTTATTTTTTTTTTGCTAGCTAGATATTCTAAGCATGCTCGCCTCCAAAAACCATTAAATCACAACTTTCTTACTTGCATGAACATAAGCCATAAGCATGGAAATTAACAAGAATATAAAATCACAAACATGGTTGTTTACCATTGCCCATAAATTCACATGCATTGAAGTTTTACTATTGCACATAAAGCCAAAAGCATGAAAGATTTACTATTGCGCATAAATCCATATTGAAATTTAGCTTAAATATAAATTAACAAATGGATTTTCATATAGGACTAGCACATAAAGATTTAACATGTACATAAACTAGCACATAAAAATTTTACATGGACTTTATAGGACTATTAAAACATTGCATAGAATGTTATCACATAAAGTTTTGCATGAAAAATTTAGAATTACCACTTTGGTTTTGCATAAAAGATTATCACATAGAGTTTTGTATCGAATGCAAGGCTATCATATGAGGTTTTGCATGAAACTCTATTATATGGAGGTTTAAATGACACATAAAACTAACACATGGATTTACAATAAAACTAATTATAAACCACATTGATTTGCATAGAATATACACCACCACATAAAGATTCAACACGCACATAAACAAACACATGATATTTTATGTAGAACATACCTTAAATTGCATGAAGGTTCCCTTTCGATTTTTTTTTTCATTTTTTTAGGGCTTTCACGTAAGCTTGGAAAAGTGAGAGGAGAGGAGATTTTGGTGAGGTTTTTGGGTAGTAGTAAAGCGAAGAGGAATGTATGTGAATTAGGTAGGGTTTTGGGTAGTGGCGAAGTGAGAAGGAGGTTGAGTTAATTAAGTTGGGTTTTGAGTAGTAGTGAAGGCAAGAGTGAGTGTGGAATTAGTGTATGGGTATTGGTGAAGTGAGGAAGAAGATGAGTGAAGGTTTAGGGCATCAGGTAGAAAATGGTGAGAGAGAGAGAGAGAGAGAGAGAGAGAGAGAGAGAGAGAGAGAGAGAGAGAGAGAGAGAGAGAGAGAGAGAGAGAGAGAGAGAGAGAGAGAGAGAGAGAGAGAGAGAGAGAGAGAGAGGGGAGGATGGATTACGAGGTTTTGGGTAAGAGAAAGGGAAGAAATAAGTTTTGGATAGCTAAGGGTGAGTGAAGTGATGAGGGTTTCAGCTACACCACGGTTGAGGGAAAGAAGTGGGTTTTAGGCAAGCTCTAGGTGAGGGAAGGAAGTGGGTTTCAGGTAGGCTGAGGGTGAGGAAAGTGATGAGGATTTCGGGGAGGGTAAAGTTAAGGGAAGTGATGAGGGTTTCCGGTAGGCCATGGTTGAGAGAAGGAAGAGTGTTTCGGGTAAACTTGGTCTTTAGGTGTGGGTTAGTGAGAGGGAGAAAGGGAAGAACTATGTAGGTTTTCAGCCAATGGAAAAGATAAAAAGGGAATGAGAGAAGACAACATACGATGGTGGTTTTAACTGCCACATGTCTTGAATACTTGTGACTGTTAAAACCGCCACCATGGACATGTAAAAAGAAGATTTTTACATACATCGCCTGCAAAAAGAATTACACCCAATTCAACAGTAAATACAATCAAAACACTAAAATATGGCTAGAAGGTCGTGACTAACCCATCTTAAAATTCTTTGATCATTCAATATTTTTAATATTGAGCAAAGTTTCATCATTTATCAGTAAATAATATTCAATTCAAAATACAAATATGTTTTCATTGACAACTCATGGAATATGAAATTATAATAAAAAAATATAAAAATCATGCAACAAATTAAAAAAATTCTTGGGACTAAGAAGTCATAAATTATCCATAGAAAAAAGAAACTAAAAGTTCCTCGCGATAAAACTAGCTGGAAGGGCAACCACACAATCTTGATGTAGAAAGACCTCCGAAAAACTAACTGGAAGGGTAACAACAAAATCTTGATGTATAAAGACATCCGAAGCTCACATCTTGCTTTTCTTCTGCTTCAATCCAAACCAAAAATCATTGAAGAAGGTAACCTTGGTCTTTCTTCCCCATCCCCTAGCTCACTTTGCCACTCTTCAAAACTAAGTTCGCTCTCATTAGAAGTGGCATTTTAGAAATAACCCAAACTTTTCAACAACGTCATGTTGGCCGAGCAGGATAAACACAACCTCCAATGAAAATCGGGGAGGACATTCACAAGAGCATTAAAACATTGTTGAGGGAAGTTTAGTATAACACAACTTTGCTTTCAGGGGTGCAAGTTTAAAAAAAAATTGAATAATTGGTAAAATTATTTAGTGAATACAAAGACAAGAACGATTAAATAAAAAAGTAAGAAAAGTTATACCGGTCCCATCCTTATCTATATGTCTACCACTTTATCTATGTACGAAATTCACTTTCTTTTTATTCAAAATAATGATATTATA